CCCCTTCTTCTCTCTCTTTCCCTCTCTCTCTGCCTCTCTCTCTCTGTCTCTCTCTCTCTCTCTCTCTCTCTCTCTCTCTCTCTCTCTCTCTCTCTCTCTCTCTCTCTCTCTCTCTCTCTCTCTTTCTCTGTCTGTCTGTCTGTCTCTCTCTCTCTCTCTCTCTCTCTCTCTCTCTCTCTCTCTCTCTCTCTCTCTCTCTCTCTCTCTCTCTCTCTCTCTCTCTCTCACTCTCTCCCTCAGTCTTTCTCCCCCTCGTCCCCTTTCTTTTCCTCCCCCCCTTCTCCCTCCCTCCCTCTCTCTCCCTCCCTCTTTCTCTCTCTTTCTCTCTTTCCCTCTGTCTCTCTCAGTAATGATGCGGAAACAAAGTCTTGTGAGATTTACCCCTTTTATTATTGCAAATGCAACATAGAGCCTAGTAATCCAGATAATGCTTTTGTTCCTCTGTGCAGGGAAATGTATGCGGAGTAATGCTGCAGCCGTGTGATATTTTTCACACAAATACCAGCACAAAGAAACGCGCACATAGAGAATACACAAGGGCATAAACACGCGAATGGATACGTACAAACACATGTAAATATTCACATACACAATCACACACACAATCACAAATTGAACAGACACATACCTACAATCACACAAGCATATACATACACAGACACAGTCAGACACCCCCCCCCACATAGTACCCCCCCACATACGTACCCCCCCTCCTACATACCCCCACCCCACCCCCACCCGCACACATAACCCCCTCTACATACCCCCCTCCCCACACACAACCCCCTCCCCACCCCCCCTCAAAACACACACACACACACACACACACACACACACACACACACACACACACACACACACACACACACACACACACACAGCCCCCCCCTTCCCACCTCCTTCTAAACACACACACACACGCACACACAACCCAACCCCCCTCAAAATACACACACACGCAGAGGTGAAAATGTCTGAAGTCACAGAGAGTGAAATGAGACTAAAAGAGGCATCAGTGTCTGCCTCTCAAGTTATAACTCATCTCATTAGTGTGGTCGAGGCAGCTGTTGCAATCAACAACGCTCAGAAGAGGCGTTAATTTCTTGCAACTGCTCTTTGCATAAAGATATCTGTTGGGGAAGAGACGGGGAGCGCGTGGTCGCTTTTAAGGCTCAATTTCCCTTGTTTTGATATTTGTGGGTGCATATACTATGGATCTATCTATCTGTCTACTTATCTATCTGTCTACTTGTTTATTCTATCTATTTATATGTGTGTGTTTATATGTTTAGATGTGGATAGATAAATATACATTCATATAGATATTCAATCTCTCTCTGTTTCTGTTTCTGTCTCTGTTTGTCTGTCTGTCTGTCTGTCTGTCTCTCTCCCTCTCTCCTTCTCTCTCTCTCTCTCTCTCTCTCTCTCTCTCTCTCTCTCTCTCTCTCTCTCTCTCTCTCTCTCTCCTCTCTCTCTCTCTCTCTCTCCCTCCCTCCCTCCCTCCCTCCCTCCATCCATCCATCCTTCGCTCCACGTCATTATACTTCCACTCTTTATCATTATTTTCTTTATCATTATTTCGCCATTAATTCTCCACACTTGTAGAGCCACATATATCGTAAAAGTCTCTGAATGCAACACAAGTCACAAACCGTGGAAGAGGTAATGAAACGGGACTGTATATGAAGTCTTCATTATTTCTAAATCATTTTCATAATTGTCAAAAGTCAAAACCATATTTCTAGATAAAAAAGGCGTCATTAACTCGATGTATATGTGCAAATCTACGGCATAAATAAAAAGGAAAGTAAATATTGCAGAAGTCACAGTAGTACTTGCAGATATTGCACGGAAAATAATCTCAAAGCAAAATATTTACGCATTAAGTTAATTGCTTTAAGTTAAGGGCTGCTAATGGAAAGCACTTGATAATCACTTCGCCCTAATGAGGGTGATATTGGCAGCTAAATTCCTTATATATTAATCAATGAAATATTTTTAAAAATATGTAAACAGACGCTGTAATGAGATCAGAGAATATGATATTAATAGAAGTTATAATTAACGATAAGCAATTTGATAGTGATACTGGGATTCTATTGCTGGATTTGTTCCTGTAAAATATTATAATCGTGAAGATAATACGATGCCAATAATGTTAATAATACCGATGATGATAGAATGCTGTTAATCATTATAATACTAATATTAACAATAACGACAACATCAGTTATAGTGATATTAGTAATGATGACGACGATGATCAAATCAGATAGATAAATGAAAAACAAATAATGATAATGATAATAAATATAATATTGAGGATTATTGACAGTGAACATACGACCAATAACAATAATAACCAACACCAATAATAATAATAAATGAAGAACAAACAATAACGCCATAACACCAGCAATAAAAAAGAAAATAATAACAATGATTACTATCACATTAGCAACAATGGTCCCACTATGATTAATTAATGCGCAGTGTTATTACCACGACCTGCTCTCT